GTTCTTCACCAAGAGGGTGGTCGAGCACTGGAACAAGCTCTCCAGGAAAGTGGTCACAGCACTGAGCCTACCAGAGTTCAAGAAGCATTTGGACAATGCTCTCAGACATAGGTTTTAATGTTTAGGCCCTGTGTGAAGTAAGGAATTGGACTTGATGTTCCTCTTCCAACTTGTATATTCTATGATTGTATGAGTTGTGGGCTCCCTAGAACAAGAAAGAGATGGTCATCCTGGAGAAAGTCCAGTGAAAGGCCACAAAGATGATTAAGGAACTGGAGCATCTCTCCTATGCAGAAAGGCTGGGAGAGTTCAAACTGTTTTGCCTGCAGAAAAGAAGGTTGTGAGGGGGAACACCTACCAGTAGATGACATTAGGGTGCAAAAAGGATGACGTCAGGTTCTTTTCAGTGATGCTCAGTGACAAGACACAAGGAAAGGGGCACAAACTGGAACATAGACAGCTCCTTCTGAAAATCAGGAAATAATTTTTTACTGTGCGTGTAATGGAGCACTGGCACGTTACCCAGAGAGGTTGTGAATTCTTCCTCCTTCAAAATCTGCCTAGATATGTTTCTGGGCAATCTGCTTAGGTGGCCCTCTTAGACCAGGAGACTTGGACCAAAAAACCTCCAGATATCCCTTCCAACCTCAAGCATTTCTTTGTTTCTCTGTGAGTCTTTGTATGGTTGTGAATATTTTTACTGTAAAGTTTATTGTTGTCCTATGTCCCTCTTAAAACACAATCCACACAAGCAAATTCAGTAGAGTTTGTTGAGGTGGTAGAGTCAATATATAAAACAATATGCTGAGGAGTTTATAAAGATCAGCAGATAACTTATAACAAATCAGGAAATATGAGAATGTCTTTAAATTTTTGGAGTTTTAGAATGAAAATGTTAAGGCTTCAGAAGCGGTGGTGTTTCATTTTAATTATACTGCAGTTATAATAATAAGTTCTTCTAGGGATGTGCGTACTGCATAGTTTTCCTTTATTCTCTAACTGATGGAAACAATCTCAAAAGTACAATCTCCTTTAATAAGCCCTACTTATACCCCAGGCATGTTCTGCTTATCTTTCACTCCAAGGTTAAAATAAATTGAATATCTGTAAACATATAGTATTAAATATTTGTATGTAAATGATGCCAGTTAAAAATCCTAGAAATCCCTGTCATAGCCTATGTTACATGTGAATGAATGATATAAGCAATCATTCATTTATATTTATATATGTTTATATATATATTTTATATTTTTATTTATTTATTTATACATGAAATTATAATTTTATTGATTCCTCAACCAAAACATGTTTTTACGTTCCTGGAAAATAAATAAAAATCCTAATTTTAAGTGTAGAATTCTGTTATTTTACATTTTATTTCAGCTAACCATTTTTAAAGCCTGCCTTTACATTCATCAATATATTGAATGAAATGTATCATCATCTGCAGTGTTTTATTTTAGAGATTAACATTTTGTCACAGCTTTAATGTTTAAAGTTATAGTTAAGCACTTTACATTTCCAAGTAGAAGGAAGACACTTTCAAGGGTATGGCCTGAAAGATGAATTGGTTTCTCTGTTTAGGAAGTCCCATTTACTATGAATTTCTACTGCCATTTTTTCCCACTAAAATTAATTATTCTTCTAGAACAGATCCCATACATGTTTTTGTATTATATGGATTTTTAAATGGATAAATAGATCTATAGTATCATTTATAACCTAAATTGAAGGTAACTAAAATGCTAGTTATGCTGGAAGAAAGGAAAAAACTAATTTGAGTAGTAAGTCTCAGCTGATATGAATTTCCTCTGGCTTCATTGATTTTACTAGCTAAAAATCTATTTTCAAATGCTTAGATACCTTTGTGGCATCATCAGCTCTCTTATTGCACTTTTAAAAGGGAGTTTTAAACAATGAACTCACAATGGAAATAAAATTGGAAGTGACTTCTTATACAGAACCAGTTTATACCTCCTTGTAAATATTTCTGAAAGTTCTCTACATAAGCCAAAATTTTATTTTTGAATTCTTAAATCTTCCAAGGCTGGAAACAGGTTCCTCAGGCATTCTAACCTAAGATTCAGAATTTTCTATACATTAAAATATATTTGCTATCCAAATATAAACAGTGACAAAATTACATTTGAGAGTTAACTCTTCTGGTATTTGCAACAGTGCTGTAGGAGGCTCTAAGTATTTTTCCCTACCCATTCCAAGTCATCCAGTATCTGGAGGTTAATTACTCAGTGACAACAGATTTGTAGTCCATATAAGATAAAATTAATAAAATTGAAAATTGTGAGCACATCTTTCAGCTCATCATCTTGACAACATCTTAGGCTCTCTTATATGTCTTCTGTTACTGGCTTGGCTAATACTCCTGGTTTAGTTCTTCCAAAAATAATAATTATATATCTAAAAAAGATTAATCTCTAGCATTTATGACATCATCCTTTTCCCTGTCAACAGTTAGTAGTAGATTTTTAATGGTTTTATGTGTCCCTGAAAAATGGTATGCACTGTAGTTGTGACAATAAACTTTTAACACGAGTTAAAGAATCACAGTGACTCAACTGAAATATTTGGTTTTGTTTTTGTTGTTGTAGTAGTGCTCATACTTTTTTTTTTTTTCCCACATATTCGTTTCTTTACTCAGAATGTCACAGTTCCCTTTCTCCAAAGAGGTGATGGTCTACTCTTCAGACACGTGATTTTCTTCTTCACCAGATCCTTTGTGAGAGGGATGGTTTATGAAAAGGGGGAAGAGCTACGAGAAACACATTTTAGTTTGGAACAAGAAAACAGAAAAAGGAGTCTTTTTTGCTTCTGATGTGTTTGTATTCAGCTGATACTTCTGATCCTGTTTGTATTCATCTGGAAATTCTGATGACAACACAAAAAATTCAATCATCAATAATAGGAAAACTTACAAATTCACTTTCATAATGATTTCCTCTTTCAGGGTCCCTCTTTCTACTAAGCACATAATCCTGATTACACTCAAGTCTCTTGAGGAGCAAAAGAGAGATATGAGGATGAAAAGAAAACAAAGAGGTGGTACAGAGTAAATGAGGGATATAAAAAGCTCACTTGAGACAGAAACAAGGGTGTTGAGAAATGAGGGAGAATATAGACCTTGGTGAGATGTTGGGTGGTGATTCAAAGGAGGTGGTACTAAGTTTTGAAAAGGTTTTCACAACCTGAGTTCCTGGTGCATGCAGAAACATGCAGATGTTATGAAAAATTGTGGAAAGTGTTCCTTCTATGAAATGATATGTAGCAAAAAAATTGGAGGTGGATCTATAATCAGCATAGTAATTATCTGTGGAAAACAATAAGCTCAGAAATATCCCTTTTATATGGTAAAGAAAATCCACCTTGAAATGACTTCCTATTCTATACTAGTAGCTGTCATAAAAACAATCAAACCAATTAGCCGGAATAGGGCAACTGGACTGTTAGTTATTTTTTTCTCTTACATACATGGTGCCCCTATCACAATATATACTTAGTATATTTACTCTATATTTACTGGAGTTTGTATGCCCAACAAACTGACTTGCAGAAAACCTGCAATGTGGTATAAACTTCTAACCAATTTCGGACATTGCTGGGGCTGACCAATGTGTCACTTAAGGAAAGTCCTGTAGGTTTTTTTTTTCAGAACAGTGCGCCATGTAGCTGAACATGTCCGAACATTGAGAAGGATATTCTTTTACATTTAAATTAGTAGAAGGTTTATTGACTCCTTGTTACTAAAAAGCATACATCTAGGAATGTTTAAATTAGATGGATTCTTGATTCGGAATGCATTTCAGTTAGCTCTAAGCTACCTGTACATTATTAAATATTTCTGTGTCAGAATATGTATTTTTTAGAACATTAGAATAGCAGATATGATTATTCATTGATTTTTTATCACCTACTTCATCAGAAATAAGCCATAAAAATATATCATTCAACTCATTTGCATGGAAATAAATAACAACACAAGGCCCAGTGGTCTGTGTGTGGTGGATTATGTTGCATACTAAAATGTTTTGGTACGCACCATAAAATGAATTCCATTGGAATAGATTTCACTATGCAATTTTGAGCAGTGTTGAATGAGATGTCTACTGTTCATGGCATAGAATACAGAAGAGAAAGTACATCAGTTGCTTCTAGTGTGAATTTAAGAAAATGATTAGAAAGTTGCAATATCTTAAGGGCAGAGCGGAAAACACAATGATTGGAAATAAGAACCAATTAAGAAAAGAATTTTCATTTCATTGCTATATTGCTTGCTATGGTCTGTTGCTGATTTTTTCTCTGCAGATGTTTAAATAACTAGGCTTTATTTCTTTTCTTCATAACTACTTTTATTCTTTCTTTATATTTGGATGGTTACTTCAGTTTCAAAATCCTTTTGCCCCTCTTTTTTTAAATGACTTCTTCTTATACAAAATTGCTTCCTTACCTGAAGGAAACAAAAATGAATTTTTAAGGCATAGTAATTTACCTTTTCTTCAGAAAAAGATTTCACAATGTATTTCTCATTTCTATATGCATTTTATTTCTTTATCAAAATTAGTCACTTAATTTAAATTATTTTACACAAAGTTGAATGCCTAGACGTACAAGGTACATCTAAACTGAGCTATAAATAAGAAATTACTTTCAGAGAAAGGTACTTAACATAATGCACAGTATACCTAATAGTGGATCAAGATGAAAAAGGGTTGCAAGAATATTCCTTGAAGGAATATAAGGCTCCATGTTTTTTATCAATTTATTAAAGAGGGAGGTGTAAGTGATACCCAAGGCCTGTTCCCTATATTGGGTTAAAATGTATATGTTTATGATAAATATATTTCACATCTCTAGTGGACATCATTTTGCATGTTTAATCACTTGTTGTCCCATTGCAGGGATGTTATAGATTTATGTAGAAGTGGGAAGAAACTGTATCAACAAAAAAATTGTCTGTTTTACAATGTTTAGTCTAATGAGCCTTCTTTTTTTTTTTTTTTCCTTTTTCCTTTTTCTTTCAGGACCAATTTAGAAAATAAAAAAAAAAAAAAGTGTGCAAAACATACTTAAATTGACTTGGTATGAATGAAGAAGAATGACTAATTGTTCAAACATCATGTCTGTCTTTGTGTCTATGCAGAAGGATAGGATACATGAGAAGTCACTGTTAATACAATTTTTCTGGCAAGGAGTGGATGATGAAGGTTGCCTCATCTAGCCTCAACCAGGACCATCTCCAGACAGTTTTCTCCTTTGTAGGCTGAAGTTAGCCCTCAGACTTAAAATTTTAATTCTCCAGGAGTTTTATCATTTTTCTATATATCTCCTTTCTTCTGTGAACAGGTAAATTGCTGTCTAACCTCTACCCAAACAATGATGAACAGAACAAAATTACTCTGATACTTGTTTCATGCAAGTGATACTCATCAGCTGAGTCTTGGAACTCTCAAAATATTAGAACTGATTAATCTTATCCTAACAGGAAAAGATTGAAGGAGTTGTTGAAGGAGTAAGTTAAATGAGTGAGGCAAAATTCATCCCAGAGTTTTACTCCACACCAGAGGATGAATATTGTTTAGCATAATTCATAGTCAATCCTTAATCTGGTAGGAGAAATATGGGCTAACCAACAATAAAAAGATAACCTGTTGTGTTCAGTTCAACTACACAGCTACTGAATACGGCCTTCACCCTTTAAAAAACACTGAAACTTCATAAACATTGATGTAGAGGGAAAAGTGCAATTGAAATACAAATTAAAGCAACTTTAATCTAGTATCAACCAACATTTATCTTTTGTTGTTGTTCAGAAGGATCAGCTTTTGAGGTGAATTTTGTCTTCTTTTTTCAGAAATCTTGATATAGTTAATGGGACTGCTTATATTCAATGTGTAAAAACTTCATCACAGGAAAGTTCAAATAGATTCACATTTTGTTTCTTGTAAAGTACACAAAGGGGTCTCAGAGAAAAATAATAGATGTTTCAAGCAGAACAATCATGCATAACGTTTCAACATGACTTGGACTACTGTTTATGTAACCATATTCCATTACAGCTTGGCTTAAGATAGAACTTTAATATAATGCAAAAGCTTGATGTTAGATTTCCAAAAAGAGAATTTTACTGGGTTTATGTGGCAAGGTTTTAGTATCTTGGGGGCTGCAGGGATGGCCTCTATGAGAATGAGAAAAGACCAGGAGCTTCTCCATGTCAGATCCATGTCAGTTCCAGCAAGTTCAAAAAGGGACTGTCTGCTGGCCAAAGCTGAACCAGTCAGGCTGAAAAACATTGCACAGCAGCAGCTGGGAGAGAGAAGCGAGAAAATGTGAGAGAAACAACCCAACCGAAACCAAGTTCCACAAAAAAAAAAAAAAAGCGGGAGGAGGTGCTACAAGCAGAAGATCCCCTGCAGCTCATACAGAGGGTCATGATAATACAAATTGTCCCCCTGAAGACCATGGTATACCACATTGGTGCAGATCTCCACACAGCAACCGATGGCAGAGCCCACAACACAGCAGGTGGATATGGTCTGAAGGAAGCTGAATGGTCTGAATATAGAGAGTCCCTTCAGGAAGTGACTTGACTCTTGGCCGGAACTGCAGCTTGTAGAGAGGAGCCCACACAGGAGCAGGTGATCTGGTGTGGAGATTCTTCTCTGTCTCTACGTACCTAGCAGAATATGCAGAAAAATCACATTAGGGAATTTAACGTTTTTCTATTCTATTTGTTCTTTTTTTTTTTTTTTTTTTTTTTTTTTGGTGTCTTCTCTTCAAGGCAATAAATTACATTTTTTACTTTAGAAGGATTAAAGCCTTGTGAGATGAACTTCAACATTATCCTTCTGCAAGGAATGCATGTTAGATCTTAAAAAATGAAAAACGTTTCTGTGTCTGAGCACATTTTTTCTTTTGCTCTGCACTGGAATGCATGACCCCTGTTGCCTGCTAAGTATAGGGTAAGCGAGTAAGCACTTGAAATATATGTGATTGAACTCAGCATGTAGAGCTCCAAAGTACTCATTCTCAGTAAAAGGAAACTCTTTTTTACCAGAATATATATGCCACAAGAATGCCACACATAATATTCAATAGCAGACTACTATAAAAAGTCTCTCTCTTGAAGTACTACTGAAATGTTAGGGGTGCTTCTGAAATTCTTCCCAGTGTTGATGTAATACAATGTGCTTCCTTAGGTGACTAGGTACATGGAAGTTTATGACTGGTTCTATATTGCATTAGAATGTGAGTACATCAAAGCTTATATAACCAGTGACACAATGTAAGTTCTACAGTACTGATGACCTCTGATTTAGAAGTACACACTCCACAAATTCTAAATATTTAATCATTGTATAGTTAAAATAACTCTTTTTTTTTTCTTTCCCTTACTAATTAAAAGCAGAATGAATTGTGTTCACAGATGGATGTTTGTGAATGCTGTAGTAGACACATTTTTATATTTTGCTGAGGTTTGCCTCCTAGATTTATTCTTCAAAAATCAAAATTATTTTGGAAGTTGTACAGAATTTATTCATCATGAAACCTGGGGAGCAGTTCAAAGACAAATTTCCCACCAAATGTATCGATCTATACTAATTTGAATTAGCCCCTCTGAAAGCACTGCTAATTGCCTAAGGAAAAGGTCTAAGTACATGATTTGATTAGTCTAAAATTCAGTTGTTTTTGATTTATTAGCCCAGCAGTAGGAAATTAATTCTGTCCCTAGAATTCCATGACTCCCCTGCCATTCACAAAAAGAAAATCAATTTAAGGCACTATTAAAGCATACCAGCCTAGATTATAATTTCTAGGTTTATTCACAGGATGACAAAACACTAAGTAATCCCAAAATAATAGAATCATTAAGGTTGGAAAAGACCTTCAAGATCATCTGGTCCAGCCATCCCCCTATTACCAATGTCACTCACTAAACCATGTCCCTAAGCACTGTTATAAATTAAGTCTCAACTCAATCTGAATTTAGTAATATTTATAAAAGGAATATTTATAAAAGGTATAAAAGGCAAGTAAACAGCGCTGGGTGTGTGGGGAGTCTACGCTCCAACACGCACACATGAACATCAAACATTCTAAATATACAGAACATTGCTTTTACATACTAAACCCAAGTATGCCTATACAATCAGAAAAGGTAACGAGCAATCCTTTAAGTTCCATGACTCACTAAACTCGAGTATGCCTATACATATGTACAATCAGAAAAGGTAATGTTATATATGGAGTGGTAATTCGTGTCGAGAAAATGGTTGATACTAATAAAGAAGGGAGAGATTTAGGAGTGTGGCCATGGGGGTTGGAAAGCCCGTGGTTGATGACAACATCAGACTCTTAACGACGAGGCCATCAGGAATATAAAAGAGGTTAGAAGGAACAAAGAAGTGTGATTCAGGAGACTCCATGCAGTCTCAGGTTGCTTGTTCTCCAGCCATTAAGGCATGGAAGCTTCTGGGTGTTTGCTGTTGTTGTTATATTCAAAGTTGTTTGACCAATGAAAAGTTGCTTTGAAAAGAACTGCTGTGGAGAGAAGGGTATAAGAGGGGAGCCTGCCCTCAAGAAAAAAAAAAAAAAAGGCAACGCGATGTGATGAAGTTATGTCATCAATAAAGAAGCAGAAAGAAGGAATGAAAAGGAACAAGCTAGCAGAACAGAGAAAAGAACAGGAACAGGCACACTGATTGCTTCATGAAGATGGTTTCAGCCAGACTCAGCAAACCACTCAGAGAAGCTCGTACTGAAAGTCGCTGGAAATAGGCGCACCAGAGCTGGAGAGAAGCTCAAGCTGAGAGAAGCAGACCCGCGCACACAACTGCCCCTCACTGCTAAGCAGTTGTGCATTATGGGGAATCATACGTCCTTAGAAACAAAGACTGTCCTGGTAACCTTACAGCTTATTCTCCTTCTTAACAATCAGACAGTTTATGATCCTGAAATATGGGACCAAATTGAGGTCAAGGTGTGGGACTCCACCTCCTCCTTGAGCTCTGCCACCAGGCTGATCAGATCCTCCACCTGCTTGCAGCGCATGCAGGCAGTATCTCTGCCACCCTTCATTGGCAGCAACAGGCTCAGGCACTCCCTGCAGCCAGAGACCTGAACAGCCACGTCTCTGAGCAGGCACTCGGTCTGGGTTGCCACAGTCTTTTTGACAAGCTCTTTGGCGAGCACTTGCCACCTGGTAGTGACCATGGCTGGGTTTGGTGTCTGGGAGGCAGCTGGTAGGTGAGCTGGTCTCCTGAGTAGGGGGGATCCTCTGCCCTCCTTGCTAGCCCTGCAAGCACAAACTGCTGTGCCACGGTCTTACTGACATGCCATGCCCTGATCGCCTGCCCTGTTCTCTGCTGGGGTCTGGTGGGGCCTATTGGCTCCCTCGGTTGACTCAAGTGGCCCGGAACCAGAAAAGCACCTGCCCACCACGATCCCTTGCTCAGTTGCAGAACATGACTGCCCTGGAACCAACATGGTAGAGCTTATCAGAACCTCAAAAATATAGGTAGCGTTTTGTGGGTTTCCTATGCACTTCAGTCAGAAAATGTTGGCCATGTTTGGCAGTTAGTGCCTAGCTGACTATTTTGACTTTAGAAGTTTCCTTTAAGAGGAACAATTTAAATGTGTCTTTCCAGTAAAGGGAACAAATGCAGAAGAATTCACTCAGCTTGAAATAACTTGTTTTAGGCAAAATGTTGCTATTAGCCTGCTTGCCATTTACTGTTCAAAAAGAATGTTTTTCTACAACATTTAAATATAAGGATAATCTACCCGATTCATCTTAATAAATGTAGTCCTGAATCTGGTAAAAATCTGGATTTTCCACATTGCATTACCCCACTGATGTTATTTTGGGCTTAAGTCAATTAAAGTTAAGCTTCAGCTAGAATTTACTTTAGATCTTAAGGATATTAAAGGATATTTGTCTTTTTTAGGGAAAGCTGATCAGTTAATGGGAAGTTTTTTGAGTTCAAGTAATTGACTGTGAGTTAAAATAAGTGCAATTTGTTATGTTCTAGCAAGAGGTAAAATTGCAGAGGTAAAGGTCAAAATTGCTTTTGAAGCTGAAGACTCAGTTTCATAATCTGCTGATGACTCAGAAAAAGAGATCAGGTTCGCATTAACTCTTCTGTTTAATTAAGTTTCAGCCCCTGAATGAGGTAAATTGCTGTAAAGCGTCTTCTAATTCTGTATGTATATATAATATATATATATTCATTCTGGAACTTAATATAACAATGATGTTTTAATGAATAGTCAAAGGAAAATAGTAGATCACTATGCAGTTCACTGTAACGCTTACTGGACAATGCCTCTGATTAAATACAACAATCTCTGGCACAAGAATTCCCACCATGCAGTGGAATCATTTAGAAAAGAACTTGTCAACACTGCATGATTCAGAGAGTGATCTGCCAGGTCATTCATTAGGTATTTGCTTGAGTATTTGTTTATGCAAAACTCTTGTGGTAGACCTGAAAATGTATTATAAAGAGAAGGAAATGATGCATTCTTGCATGTTAAAAATCAGTTTCATTAATTTAAGTCTAAAAGCAATTTGAGATTACTTGATTTTTAACAGAAGCATGATCTAATCAATGGAATAGGTTTGCTCTTCGTTAGACTGATAACAGGCTACGATTGCTGTTCACAATTTAATGTTTGGTTGTTTTTCTTATTGGTCATATTTGCACAAATTGTAATACCGCTTTTAAAAATGGTTTTGTGTTTTTAATTGAAAGGTGTTTTTTTGTTGTTTGTTTTTTTATTGTTGTTGTTTTGTTTGTTTTTGTTTGTTTGTTTTTGTTTTGTTTTGTTTTGTTTTGGGGGGGGGTGTTATTCAGCAGAGCAGTCATCCATAAAATGGTAGACAGGGAAAATACTGTGGTTTTTAGACATCAAGCTTGAAAAGCTTGTCAGCAGAATCAAGACTTCCACTTTACAGATTGTTCCAGTTCATTGACTGAATACATGAGGAAAGAACAATTTGAGCATAGGTCAGGATCCTGCTGTCATTATTTTTACGGCATGTTTCACCGTGTGCTTGCTTAATAGTGATACAGTGAGAAGGGCAGAGCCGATGTGGCACAGACCTGGTGTGCATGGAAGAAATAATCTCACTAGATCAGATGTAAAGAGAAGCATTTAGATAGCAAGTAAAAAAAATAAGTTTTGCGTCTTAAAGTAGACATACCTGATTTGTCCCAGTAGTATCAAATTTTCTATTTGTCTGGTTGCAGTACAGTCAGATGCTGAAAGAAAAAGAATTCATCAATTTTGTCTGTACGAGCTTTGACAGGACAGCACTATCATCTTTCATTTTCACTTTTTTCAAGTAAAGTCTTCAAAAATCTGTACATTTGTGCCGTCTGCAGATTTGACAAAATGGACATACTCAAGCAGGTCTTGCTGAAGTTAACAAAGCAACAGCAAATTTGTGTAATTCTTTTATTTCTTTCATTCTACTGAAGCTTAGAAGAAATGGGTGAGTGACTGTAAGCAAAAACTTTCTCTTTGTTAGTCTATGCCAGTTCTTAACTCTTGAGAGCGCTTTCAGATTTTTCTACAAGCAGCTTATATTTATCTCTTAAAATGGCAAAGTGAAATATGTCTCTTTTTTTTTTTTTTAAGCAGATTTGCCTGTCATTAAGACCAGCTGCAATGCTTGCAGAGTCAAAGACCACCAAACTGGAACTGCCAAGGCTGATAGTGCAAGGCAAGCTGGCAAAGTCGTGGAAGCCTGCTTGCAAAGGCCTGCTTGCATGTTATTCACAGGCCTACTCCAAGCTCTCTTTTCTGGCAGTCTTCCTTCTGCTGTTTCTTCCATCATGCCAAATCATATCACCAGCCAGCTTTCCTCTTCTACCCCTAGTATACTTCCTATCCTGTTACATAAACAGATTTTATTGTGTTTCTGTCACTTTGCAAAATGATCTGCGAGGTATTGAGAAACAGATCAGAACCAATGGGGTGGTCTCAACTTTTGGATACATACATTTTGTCTCTTCCAAAAACTTTATCTTGTTCTTTCAGGCAGTACTCAGAGGAAGCTCTAGGTCACCTTTTTTGTTTGTTTGTTTGTTTTTGTTTTGTTCCAAACCAGTAACTCTAGACCTTGTTTGCTGTTCAGTTTTACAGTTAAACACCTGCCTAATTACTACGCAATTTTGAATTCTGATCCAGTTCCATAGGGTGGCCCAAACAGGCAAAAAAATGATGAGCTGGACACTGTCATCACCATCAAGGAAAGATCATTATTGGAATAAAAATGACAACTGTCTGCTGATAAACCACTTATCTGCAAAAGAACAATGTTAAGAGACAATACAAAACATGGAAAATATATGTGAAAAATGTGTCTGTTTTAACCACAGCAACACTTCAAACAGTTTAATACACAATTGCTTGCATGATATATGATTAGGCATAAGTTCACCTACTAATGATTTTAAATCTGTAAATTCAGGCTTAATGCGGAGACAGATATATGTATATGAATTAAATGGTGTATTTAAAAACTGAAAGCATAGTTTGAAATCATAAACTTTGACAAGATGAAATCCAGATGAACACTTCTACCTGTGTTGTTTTTACAGCAAATCCCATAGTAATAAAGACTAGCAGCTCCAAGTAAGGAGGCAAGGCATGCAATAAAAAGTAGAGAATTTTTATATCAGTTATAAACAAATAAATGCCTCGATTGTTGAACTGGACAGATGACTGAAATAGTTGATTGGTAGCATAGATTAAGGAAAAATAATAATCAAAAGAGAATTGTAAATATTCTGTCAGGTTTATAGTAGTAGTATACATTTTCAAAATGTATATATATGTGTGTGTATCTCAAATCTGTGTATCTCATCTTTCTCAAGATGAGTCTGCTGTTGATTTCCGTACTGCAGCTGCGCAATTTATGGTATTTTAAAAATGAAGCAAATACAAGTAAAGATTTTGATCTAGATTCCATTTACTATGTAACTGCTACATTTTCATATTCTTTCCCAAACATTATATTTTGGCCAACATGTGAGGGATTGTTCAATATGACTCATTTTGACCACTCTGAGTTTCACCACAAATATTATTTCCTATGCCTTTTCAAATACTTGATTATCTGTTTATTTCCTCCTTATTTCAGGCATACGTATGTTTTTACTTGTACAGAAAATTAAAAAAAAAAAAAAAAGTTATTAAATCGTTGGAAATAGTTAAAACCTCCTAAAGCTTATCAAAATTGGGGATTAGGAACACATCTAAAAAAAGACATTTTTGCTGTATCTAGGCAACATACATTTTGAATTCTTGCAAGTGTTTCTCTGAGTTTCTCAGGCTTATTTTGTCAAGAGGTAGCAAACACTATCATTGTTTTGATGACCACTTCAAATTTCTATGAAGGTTGCTGTATCAATATCAGATTATGTGTTACTGGCGTGCTCTACTGTAAAATTAATGAGTGATATCTCTTCATCACCATGTTTGAGAGCATGCTATGGTTTATTCTACTAGGTTGCTTTTGTTAGAAGTCCAGCAGATACAGAGAATTAACTCCTTGTTACTCATCAAAATGCTGCCCTAACAATACCATCTGTATGTCAGTGGGAACCAACCTGAGTCCTGCTGATGAGAGCTGAAGTTCAGTCAATGATTAGTGTCCTCTACAGGAGTCTTTAAAAAAGGTGATTAATCAGGTGGAAGGGATAGCTGGTTAGTTTTTATCCCACAGTTTTGTTAGGTCAGAAACTTAGATAATAAGGACAGAAGACTTAGATAATAAGTGCTTTAAAAACTCATCAGAATGAAAATAGGCTTCAGGCTTTTCTATTTTACTTAATAAACAGTGCCCCTGACAATCTACTTCCTTGTTCTGCATAAACTGCAGTCCTATGTAATTTCATCAATCTAAATCCACAGGCATAGGGTCATTTACGAAATCATTCAGTCCTTTGTCTCCTAGGTAACACTCATTGAGAGATGAAATATGGCCACCCACTTTCTTATCTTCTGTTACTTGTTCTCATGCTAATCTGTATAATTCATTAATTTCTTCCTCCTTGTTCCCCCTTTACACTCAGTCACTTTGTTTAGGCAAAGGTTGAATAGAACAATTATTTAGCCCTTCATTTGTACAGAAAATGGAGAAGTATTTGGATGAGAACATTAAAAACTTGACAAATCCATACACTGAAGAGTGCATGTAAACTACAGGTCGGTCTTTTATTTTACTCTGATGGAAAAGAAACAAGTCTTTGCAAAATTTAACAGCTAAGAACATAAACTGATGTTCTCTTTTAGATTAAAGAATATTTTAGATTCTTTTAGACATAGAATTTAGAACTATATTTTTTTCTGATTCAATTTCATTTACCATTTGCACTTTAAAATAGTAGTAAACTTAATTTGGCAAACCCGTTCTATATCAAAGTGTAAACATTTTTATTGTTTGGAAAAAATTATCCACCTTCTACATTCAGACAGGTGTATTTGACATTATATCAAAGGACTGATTATCAAATCGACTGTATTATCACACTTGATATTGCTACTTTGGAAGATTATCTGTATTTTAGATATGTCCCTAAAATTTCTCATTTGCAACTTTTTGCTCCAAACCAAGAATTAAAATTTTCATCAAAGAACTCTGATTTTGGGGTTCATTTAGCAGTTTTTATTCTTACATCACAAAGTCTGTGATTACTTTTCCAGTATGTTGGCTTCAAAAGGCCATGTTAATTGCTCCATAATAAAAACCGCAAATAAATAAATAAATAAATAAAATTATAAAGCTGTGATAAACCTTGAATAGTGATTGTTGTGTACCTTCTCCTCAGAATATGTTGTAAGAGTTGATAGTGATCACAGAATGATCTACCTCATCAACTCTAATTAAGCTCTGTGGAATACTCAATTAGTGGTTGTTTCATACTAGTTTTATATCAGTCATGGAAAAAACAGTGCAGCTAAACCAATATAAAAGTTGTTCAGCGATGATAAGCCAGGCTTTTCGGTCTTCTTTGTTTTCTCAAACCTTTTCAACTTCAGATACAATCCAATGATTTTATGTGTACGCACATTAATTGTAAGTATTAAGAGATTGAATGATGATCTCTAATTTTTTTTATATATATATATATTTTTTTGAGAGAGAGAATGAGTCACCCAAACTGTGTTCAGCTTTATCACATGAGAATAGAGAACAATAGCTTCTGCTGTTGGTGAATCCAACTAATTGCGTTTTTGTATTTTGCTATGAAGTAGCATTGAAAGCATGGAAACCCAGGAAGAAAAAAATACATGTCTTCTGCCAAGACTTACATTTTTAATATATATATTCTTTCAGAGCAAATAAGGAAAAGAATTACAAGTTTCAAAGAATACAGGACTTCTGAAGAGTTTTCAAAAAGAGAAAAGATTTGCGAAGTATTTGACTGCAAGCTATCTTTTGATCTCCAACCTCATATGAAAAGAATTTGTATGCTAATACATTATATGTATATAACATTCAGCCCGTGCTTTAGGACCTTAACTTATCACCTGCATTTAAGAATTGCCTTCCCTTGAAATATAATATGGCCTCTGCAATTCTGCAGAGGCCGTATGCTGACTTTACATGGAGCCTTGGAAGCTTCACTAAACTGTGCTCTGCAGAATGAGGAGGGCAAAGGTGGTGCAAATGAAAAATTACTTGGCTCAGTACTCTGTTGTCAGTTTGTGGATTATTGATTTGATTAAGGATTAATTTCCTTGTAGGTACTTTCAAGGTTATTGTACTACAGTAGGCTTTGGTTTTAATTTCTGCTGCAGCTAAAGTTCAGCTGAGGTCAGTCATCTGGGTATGGGTCCATCTGCTTGTACTTTTGTGGTTAGCACACTCCTTTTTCTGAGTGTATTAATTCAATCAAAGGGTATTTTATTTCCCCTAAGCTGAGAATATTACATTCAAAACTCAGGAAACTAGTGGACTTTTTTTTTCTCTGTAGCTTCACAATGACATTTCATTTGTCATTCAAAGTAATTATCTCATTTCTTTACACTTGGGCTTCCCCTCTGGAAGTTCGGTATGGCATCCACATCTACATCAAGTCTTTCCTGTAATGGTAATGAATAATATCTTTTTTGGCTTCCTTATACAATTACCTAAGGGCACATGATTATTCTCCTGCATAAATGTGACTGATTAATGGAAACTGTGGCTTTAAATATTTTTAAATCCATATCTACACTTTCTGAAAGAAAAATGTTGAAAGAGAACCTGTAATGTGAAGGTGCTTTGTATTTCTTTATTTTAGTGAAAATATATATGTATATACCTATTAATGGTTATTCTCCAGAGGAGAAGAATGAAATCAATTTATATTGAAGAATAACTCAGACCAATTTTTCTTGCGTGGGACCTCAGAAATATTACTCAGCATTAACCTGTTCTCCTTGGAAAAGATCATCTGCTACCATGTGCCATATCCTGCACATTTTCCATTCCCTTCCCTAATCAATGTGATGATTTGTTTCAATTTAACCCAAAAATACATCATGGAGAAGTATTGTGTTGAGAAAGAATTGTGGTAACTTGATGAACTTGGTGGGGCAGAATGAAATTTAACAGTGTGATTGGCTATTTTTAAGACAGTGTTCTACTTCTATTCTGTTCCTTTCTCTGAACCATATATAACACATACAGGAGTTTGTGAAAATATTTCCACTATACCTCTGCTATTTAAGCATCTCCTGTGTATTATAAGTTTATTTTTCTTGTTATTGAAGGTGCTGCAATTCAATATAACAGAGAAAACATATTTCAACCGTTTAGCTCCTAAGCTTAATATTTTATTATTCCAGAAATAATCTTACATAGAATACTGTTGTTAATGAACTGTATGGTATTCTCTTCTTGAAAGATCTCAGTAACCAGTTAAAATACATTTATTTGCCCTATCAGATCAGTTTTTAGAAGTGGATTGATTTTAGTACCTCACAATGGCTGATAATAACCACATTACTTTCTACACTGCTTTCCATGAGCATATCCCGCTTCTGTGCTAGCATTCTTTCAGCATTTGCAGAACAAAGTATCCCTTCTTATACCAGTCTTTTTACTTTAGACTAGAAGGAAACTAGGCTGAGTACAAAATAACACAAACATCGCAAACATTCGTTTTTAAAACTTTTTGGTTCATTTTCTCTTTTTCTGCTTGTTTGTCTGGTTAGAGGACTTTTTCTCCTGTATCTGACTATTTTTAATTTGTTTAAAGATCCTCTTCAGTAATCGATAATTAGGTCACAAGTATTGACTGAAGCATATGTTTATAGTTGTCAGAACTTAAATTACATCTCATGATAATGTATCTTAATTTTCTGTCCCCTGGTTCTGGTCTTCACATGAGAGTGTCTGGCTGAAGATATGCTTACTCACATCCTTCTTTTGAAGACGTAGACAGAAAGAAATAATCTACTTGACAAATAGAAAGAAGAAGACAGACTAGACCAAAATCCATTTTGTGCAATGTTCAAGAGTAGAAAAAAAATAAGAACAAGAGGAAGGATATAATAATTTCCTCTGATACTTTCTCAAATTCAGCAAATAGCAAAACAAAAGATTTTTATGTTTTTTATAACTCTCAATAGATAAATCTTTCATGATTTTTTTCCATTTTTCCATGTTCACATACTGCACTAAGAACAAGCTCCTGTAATTTTTTCCAAAATTGATGGGTTTTCCTTGAGGCTTGTAATGAAAAACAGTTAACAGTTCATCAAAAAAAAAAAAAAATACGAATAGAAATGTCTGCAATTTTATGTTTCTTAATCCAGACATGGTTTAAAAGCATGTTAAAAGCAAACATTGATAATATTTGATATGGTTTTAATAGCATACAATTTAGATGATAACCAAAGCAATTACATAGACTTCAGTGGTACTGAAGGCTACCCAAATTGAATTGACTTCTGAGGAACCTGAAACAGGTATAGCCAAATTTCTGCATGATTATATTGCACAAATTCGCTGTCAGGATTCCTGATTAATGCAGTCCATCCTCTACTAATTAGTAGGATAGTGGTGCAAAAAGAGCACCAGAAGGAGCAAATGGCAATGAGGGAGTTAGGGAATTTATACTGATTAACCAACTTACATGTAGTTTACTTTCAGGGTAGCTATAGAGCCAGTTAGTATATGCTCCTTCTCTTACTCCTTCACCCCTTGCTCCCAATAAAGCTAAGTGTTTTACAACTGACTTACTAAGCCATCAGCGATTTGGCTATTCTTGTTCAAAAGAAGTTACACATATGACGAGAAAAATAGCCCATTCAAATACTTTAGATTGAGTGAAATCCAATCATGCAATAAATATCTGCTCTCAAAAGAGGGGAGTTCTCTTTAAGATGCATTTTGTATTTCATGCAAAGTTTGGCAACTACCAGATTGTGATGATAAAGAAAGTAAATTGGTAGTGTTCACAAAGGCTTCGCAAACAAAATACTGCAGATCCAGCACAGCTGGAAAGTATCACACAATATTTAAGCTAATCTTTTTAGAAGTTTTATGCTCAGTTAAAGCATCTTTTAAAAAGTTCTATTAGGCAAGATTTACTCATAATGATAAGTTTAAGAATGTGATGAAAGTCTAGCTTGGTTTTCTTTGTGTGTGACACAGCACAGGCAGGCACCAGGAGCAAACACAGACCCACAGCTACAAAACAAAGACTAGATTTGTTTTTATTACCTCAATAAATGGGGAATCCCTGAAGCAATACCCAGGCAGAGGCACACAAGTTGAGATACAGATGCATCTAATCATCTATAATACTATTCAGGGTCCTCCCATAACTGCAACACTTGCTGTTGCCACACCACTACATCTGGTAGGCACCTGCATCCCAAATGCTTGAGCTTACAATAGGCAAAAGATCACGAGGCTCTCCAGAAACAGACTCTGGGCCAGAGCTGTTGCCCGTGGAGAGGAGCCCACATGGGGGCAGGGAGTCTGGGGGGAGCTGCTGCCTGTGGGGGACCTGTGCTGGAGCAGTTTGTTCCTGGGAGATGGACCCAGTGGTACGGAGCCATGTGGGAGCAGTTCTTGAAATGCTGCAGCCTGTGGGCAGCCCCCACAGGATCAGCTCAGGAAGGATGGCATCCCGTGTGAGGGAGCCCACAGGGAGCAAGGGCAGAGAGTGACCAAGAAGGAGCAGTGGAGATGAAGTGCTATGGACTGACCGCAGCCTGTATTTCCCATTGCCCTGCATCACTTGGGGAAGGATGAGGTAGAAGAGGGTGGATGGGAGGGGAAGGTGTTTTTAGTTTGCTTTTAGTTCTTATTGCTCTAGTCTGCTATCGGTAGGCAGTAAATTATATTAATCTCCCTTATGTTGAGTCTGTTTTACCCATGACAGTAATCGTTGTGTAATTTCACTGTCCTTACCTCAACCTATGAGCTATCTTTCTTTGTATTTTCTCCTCTTTTTGTTCTTTTGAGCAGGGGGAGTGAGAGAGAGGTTTGGTGGAGCTGAGCTACTACCAGTGTGAAACCACCACAAATAACAGGTTCTTATATTTAAAAACAGAAAGCTTCAATCAGATTGCTTGTTTTTTTGTTTTTTTTTTTTTTTTTATAAATGTAATTAACAAACATGCCTAAGTATTTTTATAATAATTGTAGTAACTATATTTTAATTTTCCTGAAGTGCTGTGTTTTAATCATTACCTGTTCACTCTCAGCCTCATTGTTTCACAGACTATGAATAACTGAGAGTACCATTTAACTAAAGCTTGATTCCTAATGATGTGTTAGTACCTAATACCTTACAAAATGATCAGCTAGACAATGTATCATCTTAATTATCTGAGATGTAACTTTTTTTGATAAAAAAAAGTCTTGCAGACATATTTTGTTTACTTTGTTCAAGTGCATTTAAATCCTTCAAAGAGTTGCTGAAAGCTTACATACATAAAATGATTCCAAGTAAAAATATTTGAGATTTAGCAATTTCCTGTTTTTGTCTGTGATTATGATTTAGTGAAGGAGGATTCTAATCTCAGTTCTAATGATGCAAGGCTTATACAGTGAAGCAATATGAGAATATCTCCAGACAAGCCACTTCTGAATATAAAACCATGTTTCTGCTTTCAAGTAGCTGGGCATTGTATCTCTGACCTGCCGTCTAGTAATAAAAAGATCATGGGCACTGCAGCTGAAATCCCTACAGTTACAAAATCTGTCCTGGTTTATTAGTTTCAAGATTGAGTATTAGCCATTTATTCCAACCAGTGAGTAGCTATTAATAAAAATAATGCTGTTGAATTACTCATAAAACGATCTGCATGCCAGAGTAAGTGGCCCAGAAGTTGCTTATTACAGTGATAGATCCTCTGACTATTTTTTTTATAACCTTGTCAACTTGATTGATGCTGAATATACTAGGTAAAAGTTTGTCAAGAAAAATGGCTATAAAAACAAAATGAATTTAAAAAAAAAAAAAAAAGAATAAACCTTCACTGAAGGTCTATTTGGGGGAAAAGTCTCATTGAAATACCATTTTAAGATTTGGTTAACAATTGCCATTTGACTACATGATTCCTGGATGATTCCATCAAAAGAAAAGAAAGAGATTGAAATAAATTTGAGGAATACAGAAATCACACTGCAAAGTATATAAAAATAGAACAGGAGAGTGCAATGATTTGTTGGAAAGACTATTAAAGTACTGAGAGAGTAGGTCTTTCAGCAGTTATTCCACTAGAATTTCTGTCAATACTGGAAGTCAATCTGAAGCTACATCAGGAAGGTCAGTTCCATTCCATAATCACAGCAATAGCAGCTGCTCACAGGTAGCAAATACCACGGAGTTTTAGTGCCATTTCACTCGCATCTTTACTCCACAGTGGTAGAAGACATTCTAAGTGTAGCAGAAAAATAATAAATAATTGTTAATTGCATGTTCAGTATTTTTATATGAAAATAAAACTGAAAAGCAGACTCAACTGTGGGAGATAAGCAAAATTTGAGAACATATCTGAAAACAAATTAAGCTCTTTCATACTTGGTAAAATGTTTTGCTTTTGAAAATGAATTTTGTTTTGATAACGTACTTGTCCAAATGACTTTACAGATGCTGTGTCCATCACTTTGTTACCTTGCTGTTAATGGTAGGTTTTATTAATGACCATTTATAATTCTGTAATGCACAATAGAAATTATTTAGGTATTTTCCTATCAGTCTTCCTAAGTTTTGAGTTCACCTGCTTTATTAATTGTCAAAGTATCATTATTAGTCATACTATCGTTATTAATTTTGTGACAGGTTTACGTTTGTGAATATTCAGTATAATGTGACTTCAACAAAGGGTCACAGTTACATTAATAATGACATACGAGTATAACTTCATATATATATTTTTTTTAATTCTTAAATCAATGTTCACTACATTTTAATAACCTTTAATGAAAATCAAGAATTGAGCTAACATCACATACAAATAATTTTATGGGTATGATATGGATCAGATTCTTATCTGATCTAGTTCTGGGTACAGTCATATAGCAATGTTTCATTTGAATTGAGAATTTGTCACAATAACTAGAAACTGCTTTGGGTTTTTGGATTTAGAAACAGAAGCAGGGCTCAATTTCTCTCAACAATTTCTGAAACGATTCATTCTGAGTAATTTATGTTGGTGTCATGATCTTAACCATATTTTTTCTGTACTCGTACCCTGTTTGAGTCTTTCTGGAAGGTTTCAAGCACTCCTGTTAATGCTAATAGAGAGAGTGAGGACAGTCTTTGAGAAAGGTTCTTTTAATATGGGTGTCCTTTCTCCGGCAAGCATCACTTAATAAATCTCAAATAGTACACTGAATAGGCCTTCTGATTCTCATGAGTTCTGTCATATTGGGTTTATGTGTCCAAGTTTTGACAGTGCAGAGGGTACATGGGTGCCCTTGTGATAGGAGAGCAGGGGTTGCCCAGTGCCAGATGCAGGGTTCCAGACAGTTTCACAATGGACCTACAGCTGGCCAAAGTTGAGCCTGACAGAAAACCAGGTAGTACCTCTGTTAAAATATATTTAGGAAAGTGAAAAATGCTTCACAGGTACTGACGAGTGAAAAACAAAAAGGGTGAGAATCAGCCCTAAAACACCAAGATTTATGACTTCCTGCCATACAGGGCCTGCACCCTCTGAGACCAAAGCCATACTTATGAGGTATGGCGATTCCTGTGCATAAGCTTCCCATACTGTTTCCTTAGGTGGCAAATAAGGACAGAGCAGGCAAGGAGAACACGATTCCATTATGAGACTTAATGCAGTCAAAGCAAAGCATTGCCAATAATGTCAGTACTGAGCTTAATGGCAGGGTATACAGAAGAGAAGGACTGGAAGTAAAAGAAAACAGTGGGGTGTGAAAGGCAAGATTTCTTCGAAAAGTTCTGAGAAATTTAAAAATCTCTCTTCTGTATACTTTGCATTTTTTTTCACTGATTGCAATCCTGGGAATCAGGGGATCTTCATTCTGCTCTGTATTTAGTTGGCTATGTGAACTCCCACAAGCTACATGGCCATCCTTTGGACCTGCTCTAAAAGGTGCAAGTCTTTCTTGTTCTGGGAACCTCAAACCTGGATGCAGCACATCAAGTGAAGCCTCACAAAGAAGGGGACAATCACCTCCCTCAGCCTGCTGGCCATGTCTTGATGCAGCCCAGGTACAGTTGCCCCTTGGGGCTGTAACCACATGCTGCTGGCTCATGTTGAGCTTTTTGTCCACCAGAACCCTGAAGGTCCTTCTCCACAGTGCTGCTCTCAATGTGTTCTTCTCCTAGTTTGTACTCATTTCTGATCTTTCCCCAACCCTACTGCATATTAAAGGTGTAGACCTTTAATATGAAGGTGGTGAGGCACTGGAATAGGTTGCCCAGAAAAGTTGTGTATGCTCCATCCCTGGAGTGTTCAAGGCCAGGCTGGATGGAGTTTTGTGTGATCTCATCTAGTAGAAGGTGTCGCTGCCCATAGCAGGGAAATTGGAATGGAATGATCTTTAAGATCCCTTCCAACTCAAACCAATCTATGATTTTATGATTCTATGATACTGTCTATTGCTATTTATTTGCTCCATACCCAGGAGGATGTGCTTAGAGACTTGGCTGAAATCTTTATTATAGCAGTAATGATATGATTAACATTCATTACTATGAATGGCATTAACAATATCCAACCATTTCCTGACACAGCACTATATCCCCTCCCAAAGGATTTCACAAGTAATAATCTCCTATCATGCCCAGCAATTTCAGTTGCTGCTGGTTAAATCTTTCTGCTCACACAATTTGCCAACAAAGTTTTCCAAAGGTAGTTACACAAAACCTAGTCATGCAGCTTAATCTACAGATGTGTTAATTACGATTTCAATCCATGATCCATGTTAATATACTGGATAATTTAAATATGACAAATGTAATTTTAAGATGAACATTTGCAGACTATGAAATGAACTTATTAAAAAGTTTTAGAATAATTTCCAAAATGTTGAGCAATGTACTTTATTCATGGTTTCATTTGTTACTGAAAAACAATGTCAAAATTTAGCCTGGTCATGTTAAGAAAAATACACAGCGGAGGAATGTCATCAGAGATCAAAAAAGATCAATCACTCTTGAAAGATGTAAAGGGAAAGAAATGAAATGGAATCTAGGGCAAACTGTGACCTTAAAAAGGCAGAAATGGCAAATCCTTGCATCATAGCGTTCATGCCCTCATAGCTGCTTTGTGACAACTACACAATGAAGTAGGTGAAAAGTGAGTTTCAGAAGTGGAATTCAGAGTAGCAATGAATTTGCATATGTGGATATGAAGATTTTAGCTATGATTTATTAGGATGTATTCATACTGATGATGTAAATTACTTTTTTATCACAGGATGAAAAAATTAATTAGAAGTGAACCTGTTATGAGGTGAGTTCCCGTTAGTACACCAGCTGCTTTTTTAAGCTGAAACATTTAATCTGTTCTTGCTATTTATACTGAGTTCTGACATCTCTGAAATATTTTTGAATGCACTTAGGAAAACTTTAATTGATCATTGGAGATAATGCTTTCTTTCAAAATTAGGTTTTGCAATAGTAAAGGATGGATCATAAAGCATCTAAGAAAGCAGAACTTCCTTTGTTTATTTTCATTTTTCTGTGAATGAAGGAGAAAAACTCCCCAGCAAAAAGTTGAAGTGGCTGTCAGGATATTTTTTGCTAAATACCTTAGGATTATATACTTCAATTCATTACTATCATTCCTAGCTTTCAAGTGTACATAGAAAACATTCCTTGGAAAAACCCCACAAGATATAATAGACCTTAGTCTCGTGGCAGATTCTTGAAGCATGTTGTAGAGTTCAATAGAGAAGTATAACCCTCCTACGGAATAATTTGAAATTATATAGTAAATGTGTTTACTCAAGTTGATAACTCTCGGAAAGATCTCCCAGCTGCCTTATGCCCAGACACACATGCAGATGGGTATCTCCAAGTGGCTAGTCCAAACTTACGGCTTCCAGCAACCAACTCTTAGACTGTCAAGTCTCTCCAGTGTACAGCCCAGACTTATAGCCAATACAATATTTGGCTTCCAGACCTCTTAGCCTCCTCACCAGCTAGTTTGGCTCAATGTTCATTAATGATTAGTAACCAATGTAATGATTAATAACCATGCATCTGCTATGCCCTGAACCTTTTTCTTTTCACGAAGGAAATGGCTTACTAGTCAAAAGGAACAAAAAATATGTTGATAATCATATAAAGCAGAAGAAAATGTTACAGTGAGTGCTGGTTGCTAGGAGATGTGATTACACAACTAACCAGCTGATGATAAGTAAAAGTCTTTTGATCCAGGAATTAATTAAGTCTTTTGGAAAGGACCTTAGGTAATCTAATCTATCTCTCTGCTGCCATATGAATCATCTAAACCCAAACCACTCTTCACAATTATTTTAAGAGGTTTTTATAATAGGTTTTTAATAGGAAAAAAAAATATGGAATATGCATCATATTCTGGTATGATTGTCCCGTGTCATATCCCCTTTTTCCTCCCCCAATTTTCCATCACAGATCAGTTCACAGGACGTTTCTGTCTCCTTATACAATATAGGTATGGGTTTCCTGACATAAACTGCAACTAGCTAGGGAGCTTCCCGTACCCAAAAAGCAATAGTAGGAGCATATGAGGGCATTTGAGCTGCTTCAGAAGTTGTTGGTATAGAAGCATAGCTTCTCTTGACACCACAACTACCTGTGATACTTTGGATGTTCAAAGGTAGAATCCCTGCTACACATCAAGTAACTGATGCTACGTGTGGTAAGTGGGTAGCATTAATTTATGCAATTGGCTTGAACAGGGAAACCCAGTCACCCAGGAATACTGGAAGAGATCATGGGCTGGCCAGAAGGCAGAGATTTTGGAGTATCTTCTGTGGAGGTAACTCATACCGAAGAGGCACCACCATATAATGAATTATCAGAAGATGAAAAGCATTATATTTTGTTCACTGATGAATCCTGTCATACTGTAGGAAACTATCATAAGTAAAAAGCTGCTGTGTGGAGTCAAACAGCTATGAGTCATGGAAGCCACGAGTCAGTTTACAGAGGTGAAAGCCATCCAATTAGCCCTAAAACATCCCAAAAGAGAAAAGTGGCCAGTACTCTACCTCTATACTGATTCACAGATGGTGAAAAATGCCCTTTGGGTATGGCTACAGCAATGGAAGCAGAGCAACTGGCGGTGCAAAGGTAAACCCATCTGTGGCAATACATGGCTGCCCAAGCGGAAAACACTAATGTAAAATGTCAATAGGATGAAGCCTGGCAAATTGATAATATTCGACCATTCCCACAAACCTGCCAAGGCAAGTTCAACATACTCTCGATGGTAGAAGCTACTACTGAGTGGCTGGATACATGCCTAGTGAGCCACTGCCTGAAACACCATCTGGTGATGGGTGATGAGGAAGAATGGGTACGTCAGGTGTGTGCTTCAGGATTTTACCCTTGGAGAAACTAATCTGTAATATGAGCTATATATTGTAGAAGTAGCAACAGGCCAACTCCTGAAAAAGAACACGGCAAGTGCAGCAATGACCCATGATAAAGGTGGTGTTGACATCTAGAAATAGTGCATGCTGCTTGTCCAGTGTGACTGCCTTGGCACATGAGGCCTAAGTCATCTGCGGTTCTTGTGAACATTTTGAGAGAGACCCACTGAATAAGAAAAAAAAATAATATCTATATATCTGTTAAGGGACAATGAATAGTGGTGATGAGAATGTATACACCTGTTTGTGTTACATGCAACAGTAATCTGAATACACAAATATACTAAAGTAGGTGGAACCTAAGTATGACCCAAATGGTATGGAGTAAGGGGTGGAGGTTATACTGGGTCTGGCTGGGATGGAGTTAACTTTCCCCACAGCATCTCATACAATGCTGTGCTCTGCACTTGTAGCTAGAAGACCACTGATATTGCACCAATGTTTCCTCTGTGTTCTAGCACAGCATCCAGTCTCTCTGAACATCCCAAAGCTAGTAGGCTGGGGATGGGCAAAAAGTGGGAAGGGGGCATCACCAGGGCAGCTCACCTAAACCAACCAAAGTGATATTCCATATCATATGATGTCACACTCAGGAATAAAAGGTGGGAAAGAGGAAGGAGAAGGAGTTATGCTCAGGTTTTGTTGTGTTTTGTTTTTTTTTGTTTTTTTTTTTTGTTTGTTTGTTTGTTTTTTGCATAGAGGACATCTCTGTCACCTTTCCTTCCTTGCCTGCCTCTCCTGAATAGTATATATCTACTGATAACAGCTGGGCAGTGGCTACCATCTCCTCCTGTTTGTTACCCACGCTGCATGCATTTGTATGGAGTCACTTCATTTGAGCGTCTACGCTTTTAGATATAGAGTTTTAGGACATTTAGGGTGTTCCTCACTCTTCTGATAGGTATGCTCTTCCACCCTGTTGCTCGCAAGCATGTGAGCATCCTGGTTACCTAGCTCCCCTGGGTTCATTAGTTTAAAGCTTAATTCACTAAGACAGCCAACCTGCCAGCTAAGATTCTCCCTCGTTGCTTTTCTAAATAGCAGGACACCTCTCTCCCCAGTAACCTGTATTCATTAAAGTAACTTCCATGATCATAAAAGCCAAAGCCTTGTTAACACCACCAACTACATAGCAAGACATCCCTAGTGATCAATTGCCTTAGTAATTTTTTAGAAATAGTTTGTTGGATAATTTAATATATTTCCTACCTGCTTTGTGAATAATCTACTTTTTAAATTTAGTAATTTTGCCCTTATTTAAGTTTTAAAGTAAGTTCATTGATGATAGATTTTTTTCTTCCCGTCAGCTAGTCAAATATTCCAATCTAATCCTTTTTATAAACTTCTCCAACTTGTATCTTTGTTTCTTCTTCAAAATTGCCTACATGTATTCACTTGGTACACCAGCTACCTTCCTTTTGCCAGTCAATTCTGTTTGTAACATATACTCTCCATACAGCATTGTATTCTTTTTTAATGTACAACCATATTTCAGGTGTTTTAATCAGAGACTATTTACATTGGAGATGACAAGATGTGAGCCTTTTTGCTCTTCCTATTGGACTGTCTAGTAATACCTTTGTAGCAACATCTCATATTTTCCTATCTGTGAACTTGTATTTTTCAAGGAAGATGTGGTGTGTACTGAAATAAGATAAATGACTAGTGATTAAATCTTTTGAATATTTGGGTTTCAAACAAGGAATTCATTTTCTGAAATATTACAGAGTGTTGTTGATAGAACTAGTAAGAACTTTCAGACTGCCTATAAGTAGCCAGTGTCTAGATCAGTTTCCTGGCATGGTGAAAAAAGGTAAAACAGTGAACAAAATTGTATTTTTTCAGAGATACATTAGAATCAAATTAATTAATTATCTCCCTGAAAGGTGAGGTGACTTTTAGGGTAACCTATATAATAAAATTTTCCATTTCTGCTGAATGTCATCATTAGCAATATCAGTGTGAGGTTGAGTGACTGATAAGTAGACATTAGAAGATTGTGCATAAATTCTGATGCTTCAAGACAAAAAAAAAAATCTATTTCAAAATTTTCTTTAAGTTAAACAAAGTGTTTTGGTTTAACACTGGGATGGAAGAGAGTACTGAAAAAGATAAAACTGTGATAACTCCCCCCACCCCTCCCCCCCCCAAAAAAAAAAAAAAAAAGAGGATTTAAAATAGCAAAATAACAAGTGATGCACAACACAATTGCTCAGAACCAGGTGACTGAAGCCCAGGCAGTCCCTGAGCAACAGCAGACCTAGTCCCCCGATTCCCCCCCAGTTTTATTTTTCAGCATGACATTATATGGTATAGAATATCCCCTTGGCCAGTTTGGATTGATTGTCCTGGCTGTGTCTTCTCCCTGCTTCTTGTCTTTCCCAAACCTCCTTGCTGGCAGGGCAGTATAAGAAGCTTAGAAGTCCTTAGCTTAGTGTAAGCACTGCTCAGCAACAACTAAACCACTGGTGTGTTATCAACTTTTCTCTCATCCTAAATCCAAAACACAGCACCATATCAACTACTGTGAAAAAAAATTATCACAACCAACACCAGGCTACCAAGAAAGTAAACAGCAAGTAAGCAGAAATAATATTAAATATCAACCTAAATGATCTGTGGAAGTCATTCAAGAAAAAAATTCAGAATTTTGATATGGGCATCAACGTTCTGACTACAAACATGGATTGATGTAAACCAGCTATGTGGTTTCACAATGATGGCTAGCTAAACTCCATAACACCACTGTGTTACTCCCATTCCTCAAAAGAACAGAGAAAGAAAATATGATGAAAAAAGGCTCACAGTTTGAGGTAAGGACAGTTTAATTAAAGGGAAAGAGATAATCAAGGAAAGGCAGCATGGAAGCAAAGGGAGAAAACAATTGTTCTCTATTTCCCATATTCCCATAAATTCCCATAAGTAACAGATATTCAGCCACATCTCAGGAACCAAAGCTGTTGCCTTCAGGGGGCAGTGGCGACCTGGTTCAGGAACGGCACGGCGACCAACCCCAGGCCGCTCGGTCCATCAGCTCACAGACACCAATGTGGTGGACGGCAAATGGCATTTATTGTCGAGTCACATGGGCTTATATACCCGAGGCCCATAGCGTCACTTCCGCTTGCTTACAGCACAGGCCACACGCTACTGTCCATCAAGGGAGGGGCTCCACCTTTCCGTACATCGCGACATCTTCCGGCCGCCAGACCCTAACTACCCACATTTCCCCCCTCCCTATGCACAACCAAATTAGCTAAAATATAACAATCTTAAGATGTAGACATCATAACTTAACTAAAAAACAAAAGGCACAATAACCAGGAGAAAATTAAGAGGTAACTGGTAACCCTGAGTAAATACACTCTTAAAGTAGTTGTTGGTGTTCTACCAACATAATGTTAACTTTCTCTAACCAACTTTTAACAAACAACACAAGCATATTTAGTATACAAGGTCCAAAGATCACACAAACGCATTGCAGCCCCCCACCCACGGAGGCCGCTTCGCTGGTGTCTGGATTCTGCCAGTGTGGAACTCTCAGGCTTAGACAGGATGCTTGCTGACTTATTGTCTTCTCATATCGCCGGGGTATACAGATTACAGGGGTGCCCGATGATCCATTCCTGTGAACAGAAACTCAGTTTTCATTAGTTTTGTTCTGAAGTTGGGGCGTCGGCTGTTTGGAGCTTCTCTGGACGTACGAGTTGCCATACCTTTGTGGGCCCTCAGGCCCTGGACTTGTGCCTGGGGGGTGATCACTGTTGGGTCCATACCCATTAGCCGCTGCAGGCTAGAGCCATACAGTGTGTGATCCGTCCCAGTTACTTGGGCCAGTTGTCTCATACAGTTGTCCCCCCATTCTCGTTTAAAAATGATCATCCCACCCCCGTCAAAGATCAGTCTACAAGTTTGTTTGATATCAAACGGGAGCATGTTGCCTCCCCTGACGACACCATCTATGAGGGTGGAGACCATTGCAGAATGAAGCCCTTTATCCACAATGGCTTTAACAATCGCTTGTACATCCTTAGGGTTTGTTGGTGAGTGAACCCTCTGCCCCCCGTCTGTCACCCAGACCGGGAACGCTAGCACGGCCGATAGAGCCAAGATGGTGCACGCAATCTTAATTTTCCTCCAATCTGTGAGAGGAATTTCTCTGCCTCGCGGTGCAGCTTTATTTCGGATGGGGATATTTTTGCTATCTGTCCCCATTTCCTCCTCCGAATGTGAATCGGTATCTGATCCGGAGTCGGAGCTTGACTGACTGCTCACCTCCGAGTTCCGGTCCCCTCCCATCGAGTTCCGGCCCCGCCCCCCAGCCCTGCGGGCGGGCCGCTCCCTGCCTCGTGGCTCGCCCCGCCGCCTTCTCAGCGAGGCGTTTGCGCCATAGGAGCGTGTTTTCGGATGGCCGTCCCGATCGGCTCTCTGCCCCTCTCTCACGCTTCTACCTCCTCCCCGGTCGTCCCCGCAACCGTTCTCTTTCTCACATTTCCACGTGTTAGTAAAACCTAACGCTTCATCCCCGTTCCCGCCGGAGGCTTCTTCACCCAACTCTTCGTCTTCTAGTTCAGCACCGTACTGGGGCGCACATGGCCGTGGTCTCTCCCAGATTTCCTCAGGCTCTGGTTCCCCACCGGCACCCCTGGCTTCCTCAGCCGAGCCACCCCACAGCTTCCACAACTTTGATACGACCTTCACAAGGGTTTCCATCTTCCTTGTTGGTCCGGGAGCTTCCTCCCCGCCGGGCTGGTCCCGCCGCTCCGGCCGCCGTTCACCCGAATCAGGAGTTTTCCCGGGTTTCGGCACCACTTGTTGCCTTCAGGGGGCAGTGGCGACCTGGTTCAGGAACGGCACGGCGACCAACCCCAGGCCGCTCGGTCCATCAGCTCACAGACACCAATGTGGTGGACGGCAAATGGCATTTATTGTCGAGTCACATGGGCTTATATACCCGAGGCCCATAGCGTCACTTCCGCTTGCTTACAGCACAGGCCACACGCTACTGTCCATCAAGGGAGGGGCTCCACCTTTCCGTACATCGCGACATCTTCCGGCCGCCAGACCCTAACTACCCACACAAAGCGTCAACGTGCATCAGCTGCTCAGGAAGAGAGTTATTTTCATAAAGAGAACACACACACACACACACACACATCCCACCCCCCTTCCTCTTTCCCAGCTTTTATTGCTGAATGTGACGTCATATGCTATGCAATATCCCTTTGGTAGGTTTAGGCCAGCTGCCCTGGTGATGCCACATTCCCACCTCTTGCTGACACCCAGCCCAGTGTGCTGGCTTTTTTCCAGGGTGGGAGAGGTTGGAAAGAGTCTTTATGCTGTGCCAGCACTGCTTAGGAATAGACAAAACTTTGGTGTGATATCAGTGCTGCTCTAGCTACAAGAGCACAGTACAACACTATATAAGCTGCTTTGGGGAAAGTTAACTTCATCCCAGCCCAATCCAGTACAACAGCTCCTGTCTGTCCCCAGAGCTTTCAGATTT